CCCGAGATAGCCCAGCAGCCGGTGCCTGAGATATCCCAACAGCCGGCACCTGAGCCATCTCTGGCAGCCGGCACCCATCACCCAGCCAACAGCACCACCCACCAGCAGTGCAGAAAGAGGCAGAGAGCCACCCACTCGAGGGGCGACAGCTGCAGCAGAGCTGGCATCTGTTCCTGCCAGGTGGGTCGCCAGCCTCTGGCCATTTCCCTGTGTCCCAGGAGGGACTGAACACCACCAAATACAAGGGAAATGTCTTCATGACTGTGGCCAAAGCCAGCTTTTCCACTAGATTCTTTAAGTGTTACATTTCACTTGTGGACCATAGCAGGAAGAGAAGCAGAGATTTCAATCTCACACAGAAAGGCCACCATCATGAACAGAAACCCAATTTCTGGACAACATGCAAAGAAGAAAAATCAATAGGAGCTGCCCTGACTGGTGGCAAACACCAGTCCCAATATCCAGGCTCGCAGGCCTCTCCGGCCCCTGACACCGCTGGATATGGCCTCGGTACTCAGGGCTGATCCTTCAGAGATTTTAGCTCCAATTTACTGGCCCAAAGGAACAATGTCCTTTAGGACCATATTCGATTGATTTCATCACCCACAATCACTGGTGGCCTGGGTTTCCAGCATGGGAACCTTGACCAATGCATCGATGTATCAGGAACCAGCAGCCCGGAGGGAGCAGGCAGAGCACGCCCCAGCGTGGCCTGAGTCCAGAGCTTTGTGTCTCCAAGTTTGTCTCGTCACCACTGCTGTCTTCCTCCCCACCTCAAATTCCCCAAGTCAGGGCAGGCAAACAGCCAGAGAGCACGTCAGGGCTGGATGTGACAACGGTCAGAGGGAAAGCAGGTGGGGTGGAGGGCTGCAGCTACCAACAGACCACTGTGGCTGTGGGACCGGGGGTTACAGCACAGGGACCAGGAGGGAGGAGCCGCAAGGCCAAGGGAGAAAGCAGAGACCAGGAGAACAGGGCCGAGCCAGCAGGCGTGGATGGCCAGAAACACGCAGGAGAGAGGCAGGTACCCGGGGCTCCCAGGCTACTGTGAGCTTCTTTGTTCTTGTTGTTTTTCTCCTTTTTAAACTTGGTCACGAGGCGGAATTTACCACTGCGACTGCGCTTGGCAAGATCCATCATCACACTCTGTTGGGAAGAGTGAGAAATGCTGAGAATCAGACTGCAACTAGCCACGGGCTCCTGCCCATCACCACCAGCAAGGCTGGGAGGCAGGGGGGCTGAGACCGGGGGAGCTGGGAAACACCTCCGCTCCTCAGAGGACTTCTCTCCCTTATTTACTCTTGTATTTACTGACGATTTTAATGACTGTTTAAAAGTGTTTAGTTTAAAAGTGATCATAGCCTCTATTTTCATCATATTGTACTTCACTTTATTATGTACATTTCTCATGCGATTTCAAAACTTTTTGAAAATATCGTAAATATCAGTATCTAAATGAAAACTATGAAAGTAACCTATTTAGCCAATCTTCTGGTGTTGTATTGCTGGGCTGTAATTATTAGTATTATGAGTATCTTTCTAAGGAAAGCTCTTCCCACACTTTGCATTCTTTTCTCCAGTACACTCCCCGAGGCAGAACAGGAGAGGAAGGGCGGGCAGCAGAGCCACGCAGGAGCTCAGCCTCCGCTCTCGACAGCCAGCAGCAGCAGGGTCTCTCGGGAGAGCACTCCCAGGGACGCACGGAGGTAACACCGGCTCGCTCTGTGATGCGCTCTTTGTAACAGACACCCCAAATAAAGCTTGAAAGTAAAACTATGAAAAAAATACAGCAAGCAAGTAGACTTGAAGATAAAAAGAATTACTAAAGAGAATCATATTATGATAAAACCTATGGGTACCCAGTCACATAGCTTCAAAATACATGAAGCAAAAATACAGATAACCACAAAGATAAACTGAGACATCTACAATTATGATATTAGAGTTAACTGGTAACTGAAATATCAAGGCGGCAAAAAAAAATCTCAGTAGAAACTTAATGATATAAACACAACTGCATACAAGGTACATTTACAAAAACCACCTAGTGGGCCGTAAGGCAAGTCTCACCTCAAATACATTTCAGGGAAATGATAACACAAAGACCATTGCTTGGAGCACAGTAAAATTAAGTTAGGAAAAATTAAAAACATACTACTGAATAACTAATTTAGATGCTTATTATTTGGCACACAGTTTCATGACTATGTGCCAGTCTATAACTGTCATTAAGTTTATAGCTGTTATGTTTATGACTATATATAACAATGACTGTATTTTACCAATATAAAGCGATCCTCTTTGCTGTCTTTGATCCACAATTTTATTTTCACACTGTTACTCTGGATTTCTTACAGTGTTTTCTTTGAACTGCTTTTAATCTTTTCATATCCTTTTATTAGGAGTATGAGGGAAAAAAAAACAGGGCTCTTGTGAGCAACAGATAGTCAGGCTTCTTTTTTTTTTTTTTTTTTTTTTGAGACAGAGTCTCGCTCCGTCGCCAGGCGCCAGACTGGAGTGCAGTGGTGTGATCTTGGCTCATTGCAACCTCCGCCTCCCGGGTTCAAGCAGTTCTCCTGCCTCAGCCTCCCAAGTAGCTGGGACTACAGGCTCACGCCATCACGTCCAGCTAATTTTTGTATTTTTAGTAGAGACAGGGTTTCACCATGTTGGCCAGGATGTTCTCCATCTCTTGACCTCATGATCTGCCTGCCTCGGCCTCCCAAAGTGCTGGGATTACAGGTGTGAGCCACCGCACCCGGCAATAGTCAGGTTTCTTTTTAAACATAACCTGAAAATAATCTGCTTTGAAGAAAAAGTCATGTCATTTTTCTGTTGTTTTCATGCTGTTAGCTATATACTTGCTGGTCCTTTATTTTCTTTTACAATACAAATTGTATTTTGTTTGTTTTTGGTGGCAATTTGGAAGACATCCATCTTTTCAACTCTTAGAAATTACCTTTAAGTTTTTAAAAAATATATATTTTTATTTTTTATTTACTTAATTTATTTATTTATTTATTTTATTTTTTTTATTTATTTATTTTTTTTTGAGACGGAGTCTCACTCTGTCACCCAGGCTGGAGTGCAGTGTGTGATCTCGGCTCACTGCAATATCCAACTCTTTGGTTCAGGCAATTCTCCTGAGTCAGCCTCCCAAGTAGCTGAGATTACAGGTGTGCACCATCACAGCCAGCTAATTTTTGTACTTTTAGTATAGATGGGTTTCACCATGTTGGCCAGGATGGTCTCAATCTCCTGACCTTGTGATCTACCTGCCTCAGCCTCCCGAAGTGCCGGAACTACAGGCGTGAGCCACCATGCCCGGCCTTACATATATATTTTTAAAAATAGAGACAGGGTCTTGCTATGTTGCCAAGGCTGGTCTTGAACTCCTAAAGTGATCCTCCCATCTTGGCCTACCAAAGTGTTGGGATTACAGGTGCAAGCCACCACTCTTGACCCTAAAAATATTATTGACTGCACATTTCTCTAAGTATCAAAGTCAAGAATGTTGTTTATAACCTTCTTTCACCGTAAAAGGAGGAATTTAACATTTCCTCCCTGGCCATGGCCTCTTCCCAGCCTCTCACCTCACTGCACACTTTACTGGCCTTAATTTAATCTGATATTACAAGACTATGTCACTGTCACATCTGTTGGATTGTTATATATTAGTATTTTGTTATTTTAGGTAAAATGTTTTATCACCTTTACAATGAATTATTTAATGGATTTTGAGAAGCCTGTCCATCCTTTTATACCCAAGTGCCCTCACTGTGAAATGGCTGACTTTTGTCCATCCGCTGGAGGGCCTCTGAGTAAATTTTCCATGAAGGGCGTGCATGTGTCAAAAAATGCCTTGGGGCCATGGAAAGAGGGTGCTATCCTGCAGCTGCCCATCTCTGTGCCCTCACCCTACTGCTGCCCACAGGTTTCACAAACCCTGCTGGGCAGTGGTGCCCAGGTGTAAAGTCTTGCAGTGATCTGCCTTCTGCAATACTGCCCAGAATGAACTCTCCTCCTGACCCTTTCTGTTTTATCGCTGAAGGGGGAGGCCAAGAGGCCTCTGGGGTGTGTAGCTGTCCAGAGACCGCCCTCTCGAGGGTTCCAGCACTCCCTGCAGAAGAATGTGACTATACCCCAGGGTCTGCTATGCCCTGGGTCCTGGGTCCCTCCCAGACCTGCAACGAGCTGGAGTCTTTCTGTTCACACAGGAGGAGCGTGTGAGTGGGGAGTGGCATGTGCCAGCTGTGCCCTGTTCACAGCAAGAGCCCAAAAAGCTGCCATTTCTCCAGTGATGCATCCCTGCCCTCGGGGCAGCTGTGGGGCTGGGCTTCTAGCTGCGATCCAGGCAGCTGTGCAGTTGTTTCCGAGGAAGACCTGTGCCTGGGCCTCAGGAGGCACTCTCAATCCCAGCCCCAAACTCCTTCCTACCTGCCATCGCTCCCTGCACTGAAGGGCATTTTCACAGAGAAGTCTGGGGAAGGACCCTCAGGGGCTGCCAGGGCGACCCCATCTTGATCCCAGAGCCACATGGGCCACACGGAACACAGGAATTGCAGGCGACTGCCAACAAGCCCAGGGGGCCAGCCAAACCCCATGACCCACATACCTCTTCGTCACCAGGCTCTGCGGGCTGGCAGAGCCAGGGGGTGTCCGCCAGCCTCCTGAGCTGCCGGTCCATCTCGGCAAGAGCACTCCCCAGCTGCTCCTTCTGAGGCGGATCCAGCTGCTGCTCCAGGCAGAGGGAGGGAGGGAGGGGAAGGAGGGAAGAATGGAGGGAAGGGCTGATAAGCAGGAGGGTCCCCCGGGGCTTAGCTCCTCTCAGGGAGCTCAGTTTCCAGAAACAAAGTCCCAGAGAACCGGAGAAAGAACCAAACCCAGAACCTCACTTTCTAAGTAGCACTGGTGAGAAAATAACACTGTCCATCTGTCACTGACAAATTCATACGGAACAGGGCTGACACTTGACCCGCCTATGTTCCTCTGTGAGCAAGGGGAACAGGACCATTCACCTTCGCCAAGCAGTGAAAGTGCCGCAGGCAGAAAGGTCAACGGCCATGCCTTTCAGGAGGCAGCAGGTGGTGTGCAGTGAGGAGATGCACAGGACGAGACGGCGTGCGGGACCAGGAGAGGAGTGGGGTGAGGGTATCCGTGGACTGAGCACGTGTGTGGAGTGAGGAGATGTGTGTGGTGAGATATGTGTGTCTGTGTGTGTGTGTGTGGTGAGGAGTTGTGTGTGTGTGGTGAGGAGATGTGTGTGTGTGTGTGGTGAGGAGGTGTGTGTGTGTGTGTGTGTGTGTGTGTGTGATGAGTTGTGTCTGTGTGGTGGGGAGATGTCTGTGTGTGTGGTGAGGAGTTGTGTGTGTGTGATGAGGAGTTGTGTGTGTGTGTGTGGTGAGGAGATGTCTGTGTGTGTGGTGAGGGGTTGTGTGTGTGTGGTGAGGAGCTGTGTGTGTGTGATGAGTTGTGTGTGTGTGGTGAGGAGTTGTGTGTGTGTGGTGAGGAGATGTGTGTGTGTGGTGAGGAGATGTGTGTGGTGAGTTGTGTGTGTGGTGAGGAGTTGTGTGTGTGGGGTGAGGAGATGTGTGTGTGTGATGAGTTGTGTGTGTGTGGTGAGGA